CGAAAATCAATTAAGAGACCGGTTCGATGCCCATAAGAAGGTCGTGGTTGGCCTTAACATGCTGCTGCCGAAATTCTGCGCATCGGCTAGCCTTTCTGATATTGATGATGCTGTGCAGTTTTACCTTGGCGACTGTGGGTGAACAAATGCTGCCAGATCGAAGAAAAGAATCGCCCAGCTTGTGCTTTACAGGCCTTAGAGATGTGCAACCGCGACTTTTTTCCGAACAACCACAGCCTACTTTCTATCCTGGCGACTTTACCCGTGTCGACGTCGACCCCGGAACGGACTTTTTCCACACTGAGAAGGCTGAAGAGCTACCTTCGAATTCATATGAACAACGACAGATTGACCGGACTAGCACTGCTCAGCATCCATCGAGAACTTCAAGTGACCCCCTCTATGTTTCAAGAGTTGATTAAAAGCTAAACCCAGCTAGCCCAAGCTTCAACCCTTCTATCCTTTCGCAATTACGAGGAAACTATCCAGCAAGCAGAATGTGCGAACGGTAACAAGAAGATCGCAATGTCAGGCGACTTGTTTGTTTGCTTGCATACATGCTGTCACGGATTGCCATTTTTGCGACCCGGCGTAACGGCAAATTAACGGGCGCCGCACTTCCCCGCTGACCAGTGGAACCGTTCGCTCATGAAAAGACTGGCCTTTAGTGCAGGGAAGTACTGAATGGGGTGTTCTTCTTCAAACGTTAGTCGCCGATGTTTGATCCTTTGTACCTACGGCGGCGTCGGCAGGGTCGTCAAAGGCCGCGATGCACCCCGAACTAGCTGTAGACTGCAAGACGCACCGGCTGAAACCAAGGAAACTGACCATTCCCACGAGCAAAACTGCTTGTGGACAAGCCGTATGAGAGAACCCCAACAGGTTGTCACTCTCGCTCAGTTGAGGACCCTCTCCTAATCAAAAAAAGGACGTGGTCAATATATTTTTAGGGTGGAGTTTCTAACAATGAAATTTGCATGATTGGACCCATGTAGAGGTCTCTTTTCCCCCAGGACGAGAATCAGGGGACACGGAGGTCGATTTAAGAGCAGGATTTCGCCTTGCTAAGCAATCTAGTTGCTGACCAACATGGTGTAGAAGGAGATCAAGAAGTATCCCTTAAGTGGTTGTGGCTCCGTGTCGGCTGGCCACCTAAACTTAGCCATTCGTCTAGTTGTGACGCGAAATTAACGTCTGTAACGTAGGCATCGGTACTTGAGTCTCGAGTAAGCTCAACCTGCCCGAGATCGGCTTCAAGCACTAGCCTCCCGGAAACACCAGCGCTGCAACACCGCCGACATCGCAGTTGTGCCAGTATTCGCTCGCAGGATTTCAAGCTGGACGGTTGTGCCCTCGCGATCTCCGACTTCAGCGTAGCTCCCGCCGACTGGTTCGCCCTCCGCGGTCTCCTGAAGCCGTGCAGCTCTCGCATTGTGGCACCCCGCCCTTGGACTGCTTCGACCGGATCCCCACTTTCCTATCTCCTTCTTTTTCTCTCTCGTTGGCTGGATGGCTTCTTCGCCCTCTATTTTCCTTCTATTCTTTTTATCCCTCCTTCTTTTTCCCTATATCTTTTATTCCCCATATCCCATTCCTCTGCTGACCTGTTGAGGTGTCCTCGTAAGGAGAGACAGTTACGGGTCGGCTCCTTTCTTTTCTTTTCTTCTGTTATAACCACTTATGTATTGTGCCAGAACTCTCTCGCATCCGATCGTCGTGGACTCAACGCTGCCGGTCGTCACAGGTATCCCTTCACCTGTTTATACCTTCGGACTTTCTCATCTATAGTTTTATTGTTGATTAGTTTGATTGATGATTGATATGTGGGGTTTAACGTCCCAAAACCACTATATGATTATGAGAGACGCCGTAGTGGAGGGCTCCGGAAATTTAGACCACCTGGGGTTCGTTAACGTGCACCCAAATCTGAGCACACGGGCCTACAACATTTCCGCCTCCATCGGAAATGCAGCCGCCGCAGCCGGGATTCGAACCCGCGCCCTGCGGGTCAGCAGCCGAGTACCTTAGCCACTAGACCACCGCGGCGGGGCTGTTGATTAGTTTTGTGTAGTTTGTAATACTTCTCTCTTGTAAGCTGATTTATTGATTTTATATGTATTTTGTTAGTTGGTATTAAGTGTTGTACTAGATTCCTCTGCAATATTCCTAGATTCCTCTGCAGTGCTGCAATATCACTAGAGTTTTGTTTTTCCCCACATACGTCTCTGATCTCTTCACTGTCTCTGCTTACGTACGGAAAGACCTAACCTGATGCCATTCCCGTCGCCGACTTCGCGCTGGCGACGCTAGAGTGGCAGCTTGTAACACATACATACCGTTTTTGTACCACGGTTACATTGTGTTACTTCATCAGGAGCCGTTGGTCGCGGTGTCCCCGGCTTTGGTGGTGCTACTGTCCAAACTTATTTCTTGCTTTAAACAGAATTTGAGGTTGACATACCAATTTCTTTATTTGGGTACAAATAATTGAAAAGTACCATCGAATTATTACAAGTAAGCGATGTACTTGTTTTATTCACGAAAATAAGCCAGTAAAAATCTTAAAAAATGGCAGCCGTTCTACACGCAACCCCCCCCCCCCCCCCCCCGAAAAAAATTCCTGGGTACGGCTCTGTCTGGCTTTGACTAAGAATTAGATCTTATAGCGCGCTGAAGGCTAAAAAAAATGGCAGCATATCCACGGAGCGAATGATGGAGAGTGGGGCGAAGCATTCGTCCATCCATTCGTTCTTGCTTCCGTCCGTCCCTGCGTCCGTCTGTGTGACCGTTCATGCGTGCATCCGCCCGTCCATGCATGCATCTGTTCGTGCGTCCGTCCCTGCGTTCGTTGATGCATCCGCCCCTGTGTCCGTTCATGCGTCCATCCATGCATCTGTCTGTGTGTCCGTTCGTCCATCTATTCAACACTCCAAGTACCACCATCTCGCATCTTTTCATCATATATTCCCCATATAGAAGCATCGCCGTTCAGCGGACATTCCAAGGACTAAACGAGAGGTGGCACACGCACACTTTCTTACGGCTTGCGCTTCGGGTCTACTTCCCACCTTTAACCACCTCGAGTTCATGGTATATACTAGTTCATTGTATTTATGGCACTGCGGCTCAACGCTCGCTAAACCTTTCTCAAACTAAGGAGGTTACACCTAGCGAGTATAACGTGCGTAGCAACCCTTTCTTGCCAGATAGTGCTCAATGTACATGCCAATGGCTGCTAATGGGGATCGCAGCGTGCACGTTCACTAAAAGCCGAATGCTCTTGTCTCTCATTCCCCCTTAGCAGCCATTGGCATGGACATTGAGCACTCTCTTTTATTGTTCAACAACGCACAGAAGAAATTTCTCACCGGCACCACCTTGGAGGTCAAAATGTTATACTTGTTACACACTACAACGGCTACGAGGGATGAACGGGTGCCGCTATAAGGAGCTTCGCCCCTAAAAAGCATCTCAACGCGCTGAATAAGTGTTGCGCTTTATGCCGATCGACTGACGAGTTTGGCTGTAGCAGCGATCCCGAAATGAACTCGTAGCACACTGCTACAGTCATCCCGCATCATACAAGTACCGTATCATACAGGAAAATTGTTTTGCGTATCGACTGATCTGCTAGCCAAACTGACAGCACCACCGAGCAGGATAAAAGCATTGCACATCATTTTAGTGCGACAGAAAAGTTACAGGACCGTTCATGGCTTTCGTAGCTTGTCATCGTTACAGTCACGGTTGGCAAAAAAAAAAAACAACTTCTAAAGCACTGACATTGCACGGCGAGGTGCTTTTTTCAACGGAGCACTACAAAAATGTGCGCGTGCCGCTGCTGACCCGTGTGGTGCGTCGAACCGAAAGCCGTCGTATCCCACAGTTCCCTGCGATTGCCCATTTTACCGGTCACCAAGCTGGAGTGGCAATCCTGGCCGCCGCTAGAGTGCACTAGAAGTGAACCACCGCCAACGGGAGCAAGTGAAGCCACCGGCGGCCATATTGCTAGAGGAAAAACAGTGCGGAACCACCATAAACCGCAATGGAATACGCGCGTTGCGCGCGTCTTTTTGCAGTTCCACAATAAAAAAAAATGAAATGGAAACCACTTTTAGATTACACCAACGAATAAATACCTCTTCTTGTTTATTAAACAAATTATTTCATGCACTCATTGTCAGCTGCACGCTTTCAGATCAATCTATTGTCGAGGGATGCTTAGCATATCGAGCTTGCTGGGGCACTATTGCGGTACAAAAGGGTTGTAGTATATATTGGGGTTTTAAGATATGTGCCTGCAGATACTCAAGATCAAGGGGAACGCGACATTTGCTCGCCTCTTTCATATATCCCACGAAACACGAGAGGAGGTAAAAAACTTCTAGTAAACGTCCAAAAAGGATAGTCCAAACGTATATAAGAAGTCTTGTTGAGATGTTATTTAAACCAAAGCAGCTTGAAAACCTCCTGTAGCTGTGCTAACGCCACATTATTATACGGCTAGAAAACTTCTAGCAAGAAGTGTAAAAAACGTCTTTCTAGATTTTTTTAAAGAACCTTTGTAAACGTTTACTATACTTATATTATCAGAAGCCTAGTAAACTTCTTGCCAAGATTCTAAAAAGACTTTTGCTAGATCTTGTAACACATTTTTAGACATTTATTTTTAATGCTAACCAGCTTGTTGAGCGTTTCCCGTGGTCGATTTGCTGCACCATGTCAGCATTTTGCAATCAGTGCATTTAGCTGTTCACTGTCGAGAGTGAAAAGTAGGAACAGCAACATAGTTTGGTATTAAAATATTGGTGGTACTCTTCTAATCAGCAAAATTGGTGCCATAGTTGTTGTAATAATTAATTAGTGACTGCCATCTATCATCACGATAATAGGTTTTGCTTGAAGACAAGATGGACTTTTAAACGTCAACTCATTGTTTCTGTTGTTGCCTGGAATGCATCATACTGCACATTCAAAAGTAAATGCAAAATTTCAACAAATCTTGTTGCATACTTGTAACCTTTATTATACATAACAATGACTGCACACTTTGTCCCAAAACATGCATGCTTTATAGTAAATATATTTATACAAAGCAATTAAGGGGCTGGCTAGATACTTGGTCCAGGAACCTGCACACATACAAAAGGCACAAACTGTTCTCTTCGAGAAGACTTCTATCAGTGCAACGAAATTTAGAAGGCTGGCTTAGCAAACACATTGGCCCAGTAGCAAATATACAAAGGTAGAAAATTTGTTACAGCCAAAAATCAGCAGTCGAACAATTCATTTTTATTCTCACCCAGTGCGTCTAAATTAGGTATGTTAGAACCATGAGTAGTTGAAATTAATGGGCTTCACCATGAATCTGTGTTTAACAATCAAATTGTGATTTTAGCAACACCCCGAACGCTAATTCCATCCCGAAATACTCGCACAAACGACACAGTGAAGTAAAAAAAAAACGTGACAGTATTCCAGTCATCATTAACAAATGTTAAACATGTTTAGGTATCGCTAATATATCACAAATGGTTAGGTATTGGCAAAGTTAGGTATGATTAAGTATGACAATAGAAAATCACTTGATGGCACTTACGGCATTAAATTCGAGAAGACAATGAAATAAGGTTACAAAAACAATAACACAAAATATTCAGTCAATGTTACAGTGGAAATAAAACCATTGATCTGCTACAGCCTTATTGCAATGCAAAAAGTTCAATTTTAAGTGACGAACTGCAGATTACACATAAATTAAACATGACATAAAACCTTAGAAAGCAGTACTGACACATTCAGAGACGTGCTTTGTGCTTGTAATAAAATTCAGCCCTAAGAACAGGAAACTGCCTTTGCAGATAAAATATGTGTCCAGGGGAACACAAAAGTTAGACAATAATGCTGTCAGCTGCCCAATCAACTAATACCGAAATTTTGGTGCCTACAATAAATGGGTATGTATGCATAGAACAGTTTGTGGCAGTCGTGTTCTCTACAAACTCCCACTTGGAAAAATTCCTCGAGCATGTCTAAGCTCTGAGATATTTCACTCGGAAGTTTATTGTGATTTTTATGATTACGCATGCAAGGCAGCGAGGATCACCAAAACATTACTCCCTGGTGAGACAGGCAGTAAGTGCTTGCTATTCCAGCCGGTAGTAAAAAGGTAACCAGTATAATGCTTGTCTATGGCTTCGATTCATGATCAGATTATATGTGGCACCTCAGGGAAAAGTAGCTGTGTGCTAGTGCTCACTTTCCTGCATGCATACAAGCCACAACTATACTTTCCAGCGGGATATCTGAGCACAGGCATGCCAGAACTCTTTGGACCTATGTAGAAATGTGACTGGCTCAAAGTTTTAATACATACATGGCCGCCTGCTGCAGTCACTAATAAGTTCATCACTGAATCGTATTCAAGGGCAAGGCTGACAGTGATAATTATTGTTGCACAATGTGTTTCTCTGAACACTTAGCAATCTGCAAATGTAGCTTTTACACACACAACTTGCAGCACTGACTTTTTTAAAGAAAAGCAAAAGGCTTAATATTGATCATCCTGAACATGCGAACTACTTGAATACAGCAACCAGGTGGCTCAGGGAAGTTCCCTTTCCATAGGAAACATAAGCCATGCGCAGCTGCTGTACATTCAGTGGCCAACTTTTCCTCGAGCCACCATTGATGACAGGCTTCTCCGGAACTCTTTCACACTCAGTTCGTACGAGGTGCATGCATAGGCTGCGATGGAAACACCGAAAAAACAATGAAGTGACATGAGTGACATGTGTCTCTTAGAAAAACTTAATTTGTCAGTATACTTAAAATGATTTGGGACAATGTGTCTTAAAACAAGCAGGATGTACACAAACTAGAGATATTAGAAGCAAAATTTTCTTGATGTTTTTGGCGAACACAGTTGCAACCATATGAAAGAAAATGCAATTTCCACATTGCAGATGTGACAAAACCATGCTTGAATTGCGCTCGTGCATAGTGTGTTGAAAGCAAATTCAATCATACTTCAACACATACATGATGGTATGCACTTTCATCAAGTATCCATTGCAGGTAACCTATGTTATTGAACATGAAGTTGATTTCAAATACGACTATTGTAGCTTTTTTCAGGCTGCTCACAATGGGACAATTATACCTATAATGTCATAAATTTTTGTCAATAAATTACTATTGTGTGCTGCCAAATTATGGTCGTCAGTTTCAATGATTCTGGTTGGCTAAAATGGCAGTAACCCTCACTCAAGCACCACAGGCTGTCAATGCAAAAAAAAAAAAAAAACATACGAGGCACCCACCTTGAACCACACACCATCCCAATAAAGCATGCAAGCTTCTGCAACAATCTCCGGGAACCAGAATTTCGGAAGCTATTGACCGCAATTTAGCAATAAGATCTGATGAAACTGATTTCCGAATCTGTATATTTCCTTCAGAGACAATAGCTTGAAAACTTGTAGTCTATATTTATTATGCTCAAATAAATACGATGTCCAATTTTACATTTCAACAGCAGTACGTGCATGACTTATGCATGCTTACCATGATTTATAACATTATTGCGAGTTTTGAGTGAAAAATAAAATGTTGATTCTGCACATACCACAAATTCAGTCAACATCTGTAGCGCATGCCTAGAAAGTTTACTTTATCCAATATACTGTTAAGCTTCTCATTAATCAGAAAATTGCGTTAGAGGTGGTGCTATAAACTATTCTTAATGTTCATATACGTAAAAGTGTTTAGCAGTTTCAACACTAAGGTTAGGTGAGGTGCATAAAAGATTTAAAAAACCAAATCAAAATACAAGCATAATAGAAATAAGCAGAGTAAAATCGATGGTACTCGAACGCGTGAACTTATGAGTGAACTAGTGCTTGCACAGTAAGGTAAAGCAAAATGGTCACATTTAGCCGTGAAATATTCATTCTAAAATAGAGTTCAGGATAAACGAATGGCTTAAAATGCACGGATTCAGGCCGCATGAGGCAACCTATGTTGCTGGTGTATACCGAGAGTTAGAATTTTACTAAACGAGCTGCATGAACACTTAAGTGTAGGTGCAACCTTTGCGAGCCCTACCTAAGACGACTCGCTTGCTGGATTTCGGGCCGACCGGTCGTGCGCTCGCGCGCTCCGCGCGCTTGCGATCTCCCGCGTCATCGTGGCTCTGGCCGACTGGGCTCGCCCTACGTCATCTCCTGCCGCCGACGACCTTCCACCTCCGACGACAGTGCAGCTCTGACTTACTGGACTTGTTCTACGCCATCCACCGACGCCGAAAGGAGCTCTCGCAGGTGCGCCCCGTCCTCGGACTCCAGTGACCGTGCTCCATCTTTCCTATCTCTTCTATCCCCTCGATTTGTCCTCGCTCGCTGTGGCTTACCACACGTCTCTTCTTCTCTTCTCCTTCTTCGGCTTTCCCACATCTTTTCTCCTATCCTTTTATCCCTCCTCACCCCCATCCCTCGTGAGCTACTGTGGCGGTGTCGCTCATTGAAGCAGACAATAACGGGGCTCACTTTTCTCTTCTTTTCTCTTTTCATAGCCACTCCGCCCTACCTAAGACGATGCAACACGCTGCACACGAACATGCATCAACTCGAGTATCACGGTAGTTTATAAAGACGCATGACGACGCGGATGCACACATACATTCGGCCACTCGCAAGAAAAAAATTGAGAGACGCCAAACAGAACCTTGCCAAAACTGCTCTGATAGTAGACATAACGTATAACGATACTACAGCTGCAGTGGCGTAACTAGATAGGACGGCGCCCAGGGCAAATATATTTCCGCGCCCCTCATTATGCCCATGATAATGTTTGTTATTATTATTATTATTATTAATAATAATAATAATAATATTATTATTATTATTATTAATAATAATAATATTATTATTAATAATAATTATTACTACAGCTCCTATTAATAATAATATTATTATTATTAATAATAATAATATTATTATTAATAATAATTATTACTACAGCCCCCCCCCCATTAAAAGCGCTAATGTAGGCTTCCGCGATTGCCTACTGGCGCGCGGCGGGCCATTTCGGAGGCCAAGGGCCACCAGTTCTGATTTCGATGAGCTACGCCCGCGTTTTTGTATAGTATTTTTCTTTTTTATTCAAACTTCCGGAAGTCCCTTACCCGTCATTGTTCTCTTCCAGTCCACACTGCAAAAATCTTGACGGCACGGGCGCTTCCCAGGCCCAAGTTTCTCGTACCTAAGCTTTCGCGCTATTTGTGCATCCCAAGGAATGCAGGGTGAGTACAAAACAAAGCAACCAGCTAGACACCGCGCCCTCGGGTCTGGTATGGGGGTTAAACTGGTCGGAGTGTTCTGCCGTTTCGCTCCGTTCGCTGTTCCATTGATGGAGGTCATCCTTGTGCGGCCGCATTCTTTCAGGGAAGTTCTTGGTTTCTCCAACGTACGAAGCGGGGCAGTCGGCACATGCTGTCGGGTACACTACGCTCTGCGCTTTTTTCGCAGGTGCGTGTTCTTTGGGCCAAAGGATGAACCTGCCCATGGCGGTGGATGGCATGTGGGAAACGTTGACCCCCGCCCTTCTATTGCTTTGCTGGCGCCCGCGATGCAGGGAATCAACAAACGTCGCCGTCGTGTCACGCTTTCTCCGTCTTTCCTCCAGAGAACTCTGCGAATAAACGCCTTTGTTTAGCCTTTGGTGCCGAGGTCACGGATTATATTCGCCCTTCCTTCCGCCGCTGCGTGGACGATTAGTCGTTGGACGATCGGCTATTTCGTTGGAGTTTTCTGTTCTTACTCAAAAAAGGTGCATTCGAACTTTTTTATTTTATTTTGTTTACGTACGTGGTTGGTTTCAGGGAAGCTTTCAGTAAGTGGTTTGGGAGGCTGGTGGGGTTCGCTGAAACTCATCTAACCCAGTGCTGCGGAGCACAAAACAAAGCTTAGCCGAGGGTCATGGGAAGGCACGGAGGTAGCGCAGCAAAATGAAAATAGAGGATCCTTTTCCCGATGCAAAAGCCATTGCGGCAACCCTTTCCTTCACCACCATCCCCACTTCCAGTCGTACATTACAACCTCGCCCCTCCCCCCTTCCAGGCGGTTTTACGGAAAAAAACATTGACAACCTTTCCAGGGGGCGCCAACCCGAGGACTCGGCTTGGCGCCCCCTCCCTAGTGGCGCCCGGGGCACTTGTACCCCCTTGCCCCCCCCTAGTTACGCCACTGTACAGCTGTTTAAAATGGAACCTACAGCAGATGAAACTGCCTGAGACACGTTCACTTCAATTGCGCACGATATGAACAGGCATCAACGCCTATAGCTAACAAACACCCCAGAATGAATAAACAAAAATAGTGGTCACTCGCGCGCAGGGCCCCCCTCCAACAGCACTGCCAACAGAGGTGGATAGCCGCCACAACTTTGCTCGAATTTGCCGCCGAATTCCCGCTACGCGTGCATGCTTCACACTCCACACAAACGAAAGAAACTTGTCCGCGCTTAACTTCGCACAACATTGCCTTTACACTGCTGAAGTACTACAGAAAAGCTGGGTCCCGACGTAAACAAAAGCTCACTTATCGTGCACATGGTAGGAAAAACGTGCAGTGATAACAAAGCGCCGACAGCAGCAGTGTGGTACGTACCTGGCGAGTGCTCCACGATACGAAGCCACACGTCTTTGGTTGAGCATAACACATTTTCGTAATCAGCAGCACGGGTAGAACACAAAACACTAACAAAAAGCGCAACCACACTTTTAAAACACGAGAGAAATTGACTCAAACCCGCTTCTTCGAATGGCGACTGAGTGGCTGGTAAACACGTCCAGATAAGTAAAATTGTTCTAGCCACGTAGGCTCACACCGCGTTTGCGCATCTTAATTTTTTAATGCTGACTAGAGAGCTAAGTTATTACATTTAAATATGCAAAAAATATGTAAAAATATATACTACATAAATATATAAAACGAATGTTATTTGATTAAAAAAAGAAAGAAACGAAGAAAACACCCCCAAGACCTCATCCACGAATTCTACCAAAGTTCTAGAAAATAACTTTTAGTAAACGTTTTGAAAAAGACTTCTTGTAAAGAACGTTTTGTCAACGTCTTCTAAAACTTCCTTTGAAAAACGTTTATTCAACGTCAAATATTATGTCTATATGTCCGCATACCTTTCTAGTCATTTCGAGAAGTTTATACGACATTTCGTGTTTGTTGGGATGCGCTTGTGTGTGTGTCGGCAGATTACCATAGAATATATATATATAAAGAAGTTGAAGTAATTAAAGCTAAAATTAGAAAAGAGAGGTAATTGAGTAAACTGGGAGTCAGCAGTAATTTTTCTAGAGTTATCAAATTCTAACCAATTTACAGGCGGAACCAAAACCAAAGCACCAATAACGCGTGCAACTGACAAACTCCAGGAGACGTACCCCAAGTGAACCGTTTAAAAGAACGATTGGAGTGGCGTTGATAAATATTATGACGGAAATTATGATAAATGTTATGATAAATATTATGAAAATAAAAATTATAATAAATATTATGACGGAAATTGATAAATATTATGCATAACTATAGTTATGCATAATGTTTATCAATTTCCGTTGGCGATGTGTGTTGGCATTGCAAGCGCAGCCTTCAGAGCCTAGAAACGATGTAGCACGATGTTTGATATTGAACGCCACTCACTCATTTTGGCAACTTCGTCTATAAGCTTTTTGGTTTTGGTTTCATCGGCAAGATAGAACGGATTTCAACTGTGTCTCATCTTGTTTTAGACGCAATTGCTTATTTTTGTGACTACATTCTATTGAAAGTGTACTTCAAGGAGGTAGGAACTAACAGGTTGTTGCAGATGCGCTTGGAAAGCAGGAAAAATCGAAGGTTCACTGCCAGGTTGCAGTCCGATTGTCTGCCCCGTTCTGTCGAAGCAGCCTTCTTCGAAGTGAATAGAACAGAGGTGGTCACCGTCCATAGCTTTCCAACTATTTCTTCGAACAGCACGTTCCCAGGCAGAACTCACGGCACTGTCTTTTAAAAACCTGTAACACGAATAATCACGGCATAGAATTGCTCTCTGCGTTTGCGAATTCCTTGCTGAACATGCACCAAATTCGATATTCACTCGCCAAAAAAAAAAATGCATGCACGCCGTCAGTCTTGCCTTGTAAAACAACACCAGAAAACTTGGAATTCAATGGGCATTCAGACGTATACTCGTTCCAATGTTTGATACGTGCAGCCACAGACCGCAAGTCCTTCATTCATAAACTTAAAACTCAGGAACAACGTCGTGTCAGCGAGCATTTAAAGCTTCAAGTTACCTTTCATAGAGCTGTACGCATGTATTACATGCATGCGCACCTTTGATATTGTTTCTAATTTAACAAAATACCCGAAAAAACAGGCGATTGTCAGCGAACGAAGCGAGAATACTTACACGGGAAAAGTGATTGCAGGCGTATTCTTGATGTGATTTGTGCAGCTATAAGTGACGCACGAAGTCACCATGGCCTTGTAAAATCTTTAACTGCTTTAGAAAAGCATGTCACAGTCTCCAAATTCTCTTGACGCCGACCTCCGACGACAGCGTAGCTCTGACCGACTGGACTCGCTCTACGCCACCGTCTGACGCCGACAAGAGCTCTCGCAAGTGGTGCCCTGTCATCGGACTCCTGTGACCGTGTTTCCATCTTTCCTATCTCTTCTATCTCCTAGATATGTCCTCGCTCACTGGCTTACCTCATCTCTCTTTCTCTCTCTCTACACCTTTATTCCTATCCTTATAATCCCTCCTCACCCCTATCCCTTGTGAGCTACTGCTGAGGTGTCGCACGCTGATGCAGACACTTGCGGGGCTCACTTTTCTCTTCTTTTCCTTCTTATACACAAACACTCCCCCCCCCCCTCTCCCAGTCTCCAACCGCCACAGCGAGGGCCGAGCTACGAAGCGCACTTTGTCGTCTGCTTCCGAGTCTTTCGTTTTCCAATCTGGCGGCGACCGGCGTCACTCATCGGGGCGTACCTTCATTCCAGAAGACATAGCAAACAACCTCCTTGCCGGTCACCTATAGAGAGCTTGCATGAACGGCGGTGATGCTATCTACTCTGGGTAGGCAGCTATTTTTTTTTCTGAGGCGGTCGGAAAGTGCAGCAGCGTAGTAGTGTTTGCGAGCGTTGGCGTAGCTTGCAGGCGTGATCGAGTGCGAGGGCGACGCAAATTCAACTCCAAAAAGAGTCACATGTAAAAGAGTTACATGCACATGTAAAATATCTGTCTTCATCAGGTCACCAAACGACATCGCACTGTCCGCAAATGTGACTTTTTAAACTAATACATAGAGCAATGCAACATCCATGGAGGGAGGGGTTGTTCAGAAGCTACCAGGCCACGCTGCCATACGAATACATAGGATATTGATCTGGGAACTTTGTATCCCCGGCACGTGCATTCATCGTTGTGCGGAAATTCAAGTACCTGTGCATTGAAAATCCATAAACGAAGTGCGCATGATCCCTTTTCTGGTATCGTGGATCCTCATGCGCAAGATCATGAAGTGTGTGATACCAGTGTCACACAGGCATTTTAATCGCGATCAGATTCGATCCGGATTAAATGAAATTAGGATTAGGTGCTGCTACACGGTCTCTTTTCATCGCCATCAGGCCTGATTGGAATAGATCCGTGCATCACGATCTGGCTGGGCAAAGCCTCCTATAAAAAATATGCCTGGAAGGTCGCTCTCTTTTTAATTGGGAGCTTCCTGCCAGCACACAATCTCGGAGGCCATGCCTCCTGCCATGTGTTGCGACCGTTTACCGCGTGCGAAAGCTCGCCCCCGTACAGTGACATGCCATTACAAACATTACCGTACCGATCTGCCACGTGACATCACAGCTGCTCGAAGGCAACTGCGAGAGCCATAGAGAAACTGGCCAGGTACCTCAACAATGGAGCACGGTCACGGTAATCCTTCTCTCAAAGACAGATAAACCACTAAACTTCGACAATGTACGCCCTATCTGACTCGCTCACTGGATTGCTTGCCGACCGGTTGGGCCCCCACAATCTCCGACGACAGCGCAGCTCTGGCCGATTGGCTCCCCCTATGCCATCTCCTGACGCCGACAAGAGCTCTCGCTGAGTTGTGTCCTGTCCTCGGACTTCTGCAACCGTGTCCATCTTTCCTATCTTCTCCTTCCGTATGTGGCTGCATGTCCTCGCACCCCTCTTTCTTCCTGCTCCTCTCTCTATCTTTATACCTTTTATTCCTTCATATCCTTTCTAATCCCTCCATACCCCCATCCCCTGCACAGAACTGTGGAGGTGCTCTCCATTGAGAGACAGGCAGTAACAGACCTGCGCTTATTTCTTCCTTTTGCGCTTTCAAAAGTCACTTATATACTACCTATCTTCCTAACCTTATATATAGGAAAAGGAGCTGAACATACCATCCTATATCGTGTATCGCGTTACATAGATGATCACAAAATCTTTCTATTCAACATGGACGGGTCCATTCGTATTTATCAACACAAGACGTCATGCTATTACTAAAGAAGCAGATCTTCGACTCAAAAACAAGAGATGTCCGTGGCGTCCTCGCCCTATAGATCTCACTAAAGCATTCGACAGCGTCTCCCACCGCTTTATACTGGAATTCATTGCCAGCCTCGGTCTCGGTAAAAGATTCCAGGCACACATTCGTTCTTTCCTATATACAAGACCGAAAAGCACAGCTTTGAATATCGCTACTTACACCTGACACTTACACATTAGGTTCCAATGGGACACCACAAGGAGCAGTCATTTCTCCACTCCCTTTTAACATAGTAATAAAGGGACTGTATGACAAACCCCGCGACATCCATAACATAAATTATGCTATATATGCAGATGACATCACCATCTGGTGCCCCGGGAGGCTCCATGGCGGAGTTAGAGCAGGCCCTTCAAACCGCTCTCGATACATCAAAAGCCTACCTAAAAAACACTAAAACAGCGACTGTCGCCCACGAAATCAGAGTTGCTACTATACCGGCCATCTCGCCAAGGCGTTAGTAATTTAACGCCCTTATATGAGCTACTCATAGCGCTACACGCCAAAGACGGGCAACGAATACCCCGCGTGGACTCCATACGCATTCTCGGCCTCCTAGTCGAGGCCACTGGCTACCATGTACGAACAATAACACACATCAAAGCTAAAACAGAAAACATGCTCCTGCTCATCCAGCGAGTCTCGGGTCGTAGACGATGCCTTGAAGAGGCTAACCTTCTGAGCCACATTAATTATGTCACCTCTGCCCACAACTGGATGAAGGTGGAAAAGACGAAACGAAACAAACTCATGCGCAAAAGCATTAAACAAGTTTTTAGTTTACCCCAAAACACCAGTACTTCACGTCTCTACCAAGTAGGCATGCACAACATCGATGAAGTGATCGGGGCCCAGACCTAGGCCCAAGTGATCCGCCTTTCCACCTCCTCCAAGGCAGGCCGCCGACTTCTAAGCGAGGCTGGCATGTCCACACATCGCTACCTTGAACACACAGTTAGATATTATGTGGTAAAGTACCGTTTGTATCGGGTGGACTTAGTAAAAGTGTCCTAGCCAAATATTAAAACAAAAGAAAAAAAAGGTAAAAAATGGCCCCGTATTTGCATGCAATCTGCAAATGTCGTCGAAAGAAAATAGTCTTGCGTGTGGAGAGAGTGAACAATCAATTTGATGTTCTGCACAAGAAAATCGGTGAATGGTATTTTTCAGGCGCTGCGTTAGAGTGCCTCCAGCGTGCAGCGGAGGCGAACGAGCGCATTAAATCGCGTCACACGTGAGACATGAGCGCCACCTGGCAGTCTTCTTGCAAAACGAAGCGCGTGGCTCTGAGACGGGTGTGCGCGCTCGTCTCAGAGGTGATAAGGTGAGGAACGCAAGGTGACGGGTAGGTGCCATCACCATCGCGTCTTAGCAAAGCGTTGGAAACACTCAGCTTTTCGTGCAAACGTTGAATGGTCAGCGCAGCGTTATAAGCGCTACGGTCCTTAAAATTACTTATGTATGCATTTTATAGTAAAAGATGCACATGCATAATATATACGGGTTGTTATGGTGCCGCGGACTTGCGCAATAATTGCTTAATAATTGACAATTGCACAAGTATGAACGCTAAATTTTGAGCAACATTGGTAGGTGCTGCGGATGGGGTCGGCCGTTTCAAGTACCCGGGGCCGTTAAGAGTGTACAAACAGACAAATGTACAGACAGACAGACAGACAGACAGACAGACAGACAGACAGACAGACAGACAGACAGACAGACAGACAGACAGACAGACAGACAGACCAACATTTTTCCGTCGAATGTCCGCAAGAAAGACTATCGTCTTTAAAAAACACAAAACGCACAAGTCAGAATTCACAGGCCACAAACTTTCAGCACCGTAGGAGACCGTTTTGTGTCTCTCCACCACATTTTGAGGTGAGCTTTCGCGATGCGCATGCTCTTGCCACAATGGTTTCTCTCCGCATCACGAAATTCAAAGGTAGCCACCCTACGAAGGGCTCGCGGCAAGGTGGTGCCCTCTACTAGAGGGGTAGTCAGCTTCAAACAATGGAAGAGCAAGTGCTCGATAGCCTCTCGCTCGCCACCACAGGTCCTGCACACAGCCGCAAGCGTCTAGGGGGCACAATCGCAACGACTTCAATGGTTAGGAGTACAGGGCTCTAGAAGTATGCAGTCAAGAGGGCACAGCACACCCACTCGAGCCTCGAATAGCAGGGCAGCACCGCAGCTGTTGTCATAAAGTGATGGCTCCATCGCACTTTCTTTCTTGCTCTTCCGGTAGATGTTGAGGGTATTCTTAGGGAGCATAGGTGACTGCTACACTTCACCCTCCGCGCCCCGCCGCGGTGGTCTAGTGGTTAAGGTACTCGGCTGATGACCCGCAGGTCGCGGGATGAAATCCCAGCTGCTGCGGCTGCATTTTCGATGGAGGCGGAAATGTTTTGGGCCCGTCTGCTCAGATTTGGTTGCACGTTAAAGAACCCCAGGTGGTCGAAAAGCCCGGAGACCTCTACTACGGTGTCTTTCATATTCATATGGTGGTTTTGGGACATTAAACCTCATATATCAATCATGTGCATGCAACAAAAGGGCGAATTTGTTGCTCGCTCGCAGTGCTTAAAACGAAGTTATGAAGAGGCATTGTGACTTTTTTTTAGTCGGCGGCAAAGTTTTTCAGTCATTACAGACAGTACAGTCATTACAGTATCGACCAATGCAAAAACAGGTATACCTTCAATGGAGACAGTAACGACGTTGGACGGCGAAAAACAAGGTCTTGTGGAGTTCGAAAGATTCGCACTTCTTGCCCCCGGAACTGCGGCTCCTGGTTTTCCTCAGGGACAGGGTGAGGTCGACGTAGCATAGGGAAAAAGGAACGCGTTGAGGTGAAGGCGACCGGTGTCTGTTGAAGTTCCGGTGAGGTGAAAGTGTGTCCATTGGGGCAGGCTCGCCAGATACAGCAGGCTCAGGTCGTGGTGGGAAATCATAATTGTTGGACCGGACGTCGTC